TGTGTGGGTATGTAAGTAATGTATATGTATGCGCCTTTAAATTTCTTTATAATTCTTCAGAAAACAGGACACGTATATTCTTGGGATAGTACTAACATGTCACACCTTTACTTGCCTTTACTTCTCCTCAGGCGGACAAATGTTTAGTTGATGGTGCCGATGAACACTTGACTCTACTGGATTTATGTGCCACCATGATGGACGCGTTAGCTGGGAATTAAACCGAAGAACACACCATGACATCAAGCCTAAGACACACGACTGTACATACATGCACGCACTGTCACACATTTTAAAATGTAGTTGTACTGAATCCCAGCAGAGCGTTCAACCTCCTATTCAGTACACAGCCAGCCTTTTTAAGAGTACGATTTGCGTAATATGTTGCATGCGCATATATAGCTTCATGCGTAACTGAAGGTGGAATGTGAGTACTACTGAGCATAACCCAAACAATCGAGTTTGTTCTGGCAGCAATGGTATCAGGTTTATGTTGGCGCCGAATGAAACGTCACTGCATATATAATTTATAAGGGTCACTGCATAGATAGATTATAAGGGTGTGGTCCAGGTATGCCTGTCGAGGGGTATTCAGATCTTCGATGTCACAGATGCTGCGTGGTTATATGGCCGTTCCAAACCAATCCACCAAATGCAGCACACGAGCACAGTGATGCCAAATTTGGCCTCGGGTTGGATTCCTTCGTCTGCTCCGATATATTTTATTAATACGGCCTCGCAAATGAATTGATACACTTGAGGTCTAAAACTTAATGTCACTGCTAAACCAGATGGACTGGAGTGGTGGACGTGTTTTAAAGTTTCTAACCAATTGCCATGTCTGCCACGTACCTGACTACATGCCAGATCCAGCTACTTGTCTATAGAAAACAGTGCGTATTGAAACTTTTAGTATTGTAGTATACTCGATTCCTTCCAGTCAAAATAGGATAAGAGCAGCCAGACGCAGGTCTGCGCAAGCTGCTAGACACTGGTTTTCCAGCTTGCATCGAGTTATATAATACCTCGGCCGAGATGGCCACAGCCTTTTGGTTTGTCGACTTGATTCGATGATACATACGTGACCACTGCAAATCCTTAGACTGGCACACAACACAATAAGCTTATATGTTCAAGCTCATCTGCTGCAATCTACTAGTTAGGTCAACTTCGGTTGAAGTGAGCATAAAACAAGGCTTGTTCGTTTTACAGTTTTCTGCATAGAACGATACTCCTGCGTGGAATCGGTCGGGTTTCCATGGACAGATTACCTAAATACAGTGCTATGTAGTGCTCACGTGCTGTTGCAATGTGCTCTGAATCTCAAGTGTTCACAACGTAAAAGCCAATCAATTGCTTATCTCTGCCATGCTCACATCATCTGTCCCACTCTCGTCTGCCAAATCCGATAGCATCTCTGTCACAGTCTCAGTAGCGGTCTCGGTTATTATACTATGCAATTTAGTTTCTGTTTCGACTTGAGTTTGAGTTTCCGTTTCTACCACACTGGTGGTCTCAGTCACCACAGTCTTGGTCTTGGTTTCCGTTTCAGTGACCAACCCCTCTGTACGCGTTTCTGTCTCTACCACGCTCTCCGTTTCAATCTTCAGCACTTTACTGATTTCCGTTTCTGTTTCAGTTTCGGTGGCCGTGGCGACCGTTTTTGTAGCTGTAGCAACGGCAGTCGATGTTACGAAAACAAATGTCTCAACAACCGGAGCATTTGAAACAGGTGTAACCTTATCCGTGTCGGAAGGCATTTCGAATTCCTCGCGTGCCACACAACATGCCAAGTGATCAACAAAACAATTGGTCTCAACGGTGATTGAAAGCAAGTTTTTTTCTGGCTCGCCGTCTCCGCAACTGCCCAAGTTGTCGAACCATTCCGCACACGTCCGAGTACTTGTTTCTACACAGCATTCCTCTGGTAAACAGTCTACTGCACGGTCTCTGCCACAGGGGATTTTGCGCGCACTCCTGATGGGATGAAAACCACAGGGACAGAAGTTTCTCCATCCATTGTTGACCGCATACGCATCCACACATGTGGTATAGTCAGCTTCTTGAGGGGGCAAGATAACTACAATGTTTTCAGTTGAATTAGTATTTACTACGAAGACTTCAGCAGTGTCTCCCACTACGTCCTGAACTAGTTGATCTAAATCCGATGAGAGCTCTGTGGGCTCCAAATTAATCCCACCTGCTAGCGGCATCTCAGAGATATCTTCAGATGGAAGGTCGCTAACCATGCTCATGCTTGCATCCATAATATCAGTATCCTCGAGGCCATCCTCAGACCCTTGAGCGCTCGAAAAGTTGCATGCCGATAGGAACGCACACACGAGCAATTGCCTGATAAGAGTATCTTTGATATACATCGCGAAGTGTGCTTTAGAAAGTTAGACTTTGGAAGTTTGGATACAAGCCACAAACGTCTTATGCTTCTAATCCTGATGATGAGCAAC